ATCTTCTGTTTGTACCCAAAACCACGGCAGCGACGGCCGTCTGGGCAGCTCCAGACTGCCAGAGAGGTTCCAAGCAGCGATCGCAGTCTGAGATTTTCCCGCTGGCCAGAGCTGTGAGTGCCTGGTCTTTTTCTGGGTCTAAGAGTGCTAGGCTTGCGTGCACCTCTCTGGGGGAGTGTGTGGGGTGCGCACGTGCACACGTGTTTCAGGCTCTGGTGGAATGGCGCAGGTCTAAGAGCGCGGGGGGCGGTTGGGGGGGTCACGTCTAGGCTCTGTAGCACCTGCCCTCTGGGTCTGGAGCCTCTTCCTTTTGGCGAGGCTCCTAGCCCCTCACAGGAGCCGGAACCCACGCGATCTCGCCTGCTGGCAGCTCAGGACCAAGACCTGGTTTCTCCGCTGCACTCTCTCTGGCTAAGTGCCAGGGGAGGCTGTCCTGGGTCTGGGGACTTAAGACCCTGTCCCTAGCTGCCCCGATTCCCGCAATTCCTCCCCGCCCCCCCCCCCCCCACGATCCTTTGCTCTCTTTGAGTGCTTTCAACCAGACTCCAAGTTAATGCTGGTCCCCAGACGCAGGGCACTCTCAGATTGGGGTATTACTTTCCAATCAGTTGCCTCTGGTGGCTCCCTCCCGCTTTTTTTTATCTTCCAAAATCAGTCTGAAGTTCCCACTCTGTTTTACCTGCCCACTGGCGTCTTCTGCCCCTGTAGAGATCCAGACGTGTATAATTCTGGTCTCAGACTGTTTTCATGGGTGATTGGAATTCTTTGGTGGGTAATCAGCCCACTTTAGGGTACAGGTTGAAAAGGCGCCTCCTCCTACTTCTCTGCCATCTTGGCTAGATTCCATAGGATTCTCCTCTTAGTAATCTGATTCGTTCTAGGAAATTCATTTCACGATACTGTAAAATCTAGATAACTAATAGCAATGCAAAATAATTATCTATGGACATACAGATACAAGTATGAACACATTTTCCAAAGAACCAAGGTGGACTTTGTGCAGTCAGTAGTTTTAAGGAAGTCCTGGAGTGTATTACCTTTTTAAGAATTCTTCAAGCTGTACTTTCATGTTTTTGGGGTTTTTTTTTTTGCATTTTTATGTCTTGAGGAATTTAACATATGTTTCAAGTTTACTTAAAAAGTAATGTGTAAGTGTCCATCCATAGATAAATGGGCAAAGAAAATTCGTACACAAAGGATTACTGTCCAACCTTAAAAGGAAAGAAAGTTCTAACAAATGCTACTGTACAGTTCCACTTACATGAGTTTAAAGTAATCATATTCATAGAGAATAGAATAGTGGTTGCCAGGGACTGGAGCAAGGGCAGTTTGAAGAGATAAAGTTCCAGATATGGATGGTGGTGATGTTTGCCCCAAAATGTGAATATACTTACTGCCACTGAGCCACACACTTAAACATAGTTAAGATGGTAAATTTATGTTACATCTATTTTATCACAATTTTATTAAAAAGGAAAAAATAATGTATAATTGTTTGTTCAGAGTGTTTGAAAACTTTCACAATAAAATTTTATAGTTAAAGTTAAAAGGAAGTTAAAATCTAAAAAAACCCCATATATTAAACATAAATTCCTACAACAACAACAACATCAACATATGAAACCAGAAGCACCAGCTTATCCTGAGCTTGATACAATCTACACATTGTCTGCAACAGACACATCCTCCCAGTTTCCCACTGGCCTAATTCCCTAGTTTCAGTCATTGTCAAGAAGGTTGTGAATTTATTCCTTTAAACTGAGGACACGTTTCATGGAATCTACAGAGATAGAATTGCAACCTGAAATGAGTGTAGTAGGGAGCTCTTACCCCTACCCTTACCCTTACCCTTACCCTTACCCTTACCCTTACTCTTTCATCCCCACCCCAGACCCAACTTGGATTTGCCTAGGGAAGCCTAATTACCCTGGGAGGCAAATTAGCAAGGATAACCTCATTACTGTCAAGTCTATGTTAGGAACAAAAGAACCTGGTTTCAAAGCAAGTTTTGGGCATTACATCTCCTAACATCTGTTCATGTACAACTTTTTCACCTTGCAAGCAATTTGTAAAAAATTAAAAGGAATGAGTAGAGCAGACAGTAGCAGAAGTTAGGTAAGAATCATAAGTGGTATATGATTATGAGGTTTGGGGGATTTCAGCAAGTATTAAGGTAATTACACCATTAAGAATGGAGACCATGGCAATATTTTGAGCAGAGAAAGGACTCACCTTGACTCAGGTGTCAAAATCCATGAGCACAATCTTTTAAATCTCAACCTCATCAAGCCTCTGTAACCCTGAGTAGTTATCTAGCTGTTCGATTTATGTCAAATTAAGTGGGCCACAGGATGCCTAGAGATTTGGTTAAACATGATTTTCAGAGGGGTTTGAGAAAGTGTTTCTGGATGAGTTTACCATTTGAATTTGTAGACTAAAAGAGGCAGAGTGTCTTTTTTTTTTTTTTTTTTCTTAACATGGGTAGGCCTCAGCCAACTTGTTGATGACCTGAATTGAACAAAAACGCTGGGCTTAAAGAATTGCCTCAGCCTATGTTCAAATTGGGACACAGATCTTGCCCTGTTTTGGACTCAGACTCCAACTGGAACAGCTTTCTTGCTTCTCAAGCCTTTGGACTTAGACTAAACTGTAGCTCATCTTGAGTGTTTAGTTTGTAGATCTGGACAACAGAGCTTGGATTTCTCAACCTTCACAAGCTTATGTGAATGAAGCATGTTGATATCTCTCTCTTAGGTGAGTAATAAATAGTTGCACGGGGTCCATCTTTTAACTAGAATAGGATTCATCATATCTATTTAGTCTGAATTTGAGAGGCCAATTACTCTTTTGGGTTTGTTATTCTGATTTGTTCATTGGGTGGCCCAAGAAGTTGCTAGTTTTAGGAGAGCCCAGAGCAGCAGAAAGTACGCCAATAGCTCCAGACAGCCCTGCAAAGTGTTCTGCCATGTGAGGCATACAATCTAGCAGATTCAATGGTGTTTAGTTAGTGGCAGCTAGGAGGCCTTGGAGCCTTTGATAGGGTCATACCCATGACTTATAGCACAGGCCTTCAGAATTTTTTAGCAATCTCCTGCCATTCTTACTCTGCTTTTGAGAACCAGCCTTTGGTCTGTTACTGGGCATTAGCAGAGACTACCATACAGGAACTGGACCATGGAGTAACGATGCAACCTCACATGCCCATTATGAACTAGGGGTTATCTGACCCATTAGGTCATAAAGTTGGGCATGCATGGCAACACTGCATCATCAAATGGAAGTGGTGTAACTGAAATCAGGCCCAAGAAAGTTGTAAAAGCACAAGGAAATTAGATGACCTGATGGCCCAAATACCTGTGATCCCCACTCCTGCTACATTGCCTTCTATCTCTCAGCCTGAACTGCTGGCCTCAGGGGGTTCCTATGATCAGTTGACTGAGAAAGACTCAGGCCTGGTTTCAGATAGTTCGGCACTATAGGTAGACACCACCTAAAAGCAGACAGCTGCAACAGCACAGCTGCTCTCTGGCACATCCCTGGACAGGGAGTGGAAGAAAATCTTCCAGTTGGCAGAATGTTGAACAGTCCTCGGTGAGGTTTGGGTGGTACCCTTAACCACCCAAGTGGTACCAATGGAGAAGACACAGAGGTGGACGTGCCACCAGAAGACTGTGCCTTCTGTTATTTGGAGAAAGTGTGTGCCTTGCATTTACTTGTAGGGACAACAGGGAGACTCCTGCTGTCAGATTTAACATATAACCCCCCCCCCCCCCCAGTCCCAGAAGCGAATTCCCTTCCCCAACGTAGGAGGGCTGAAGGCTTTCGAGGAAAAGAACAAGAAATCTTAGGGTAAAAGGGGCTGGGGTGGAGCAAGAAAAGCCTTTGTTCTGTGGATGTGCTCTGCCAAATAATTTCATTAGCAAGTGTATAATATATCTTAAGGGACTGGCATCATAGTCCAGGAGCACTTTGTGAGTTCCTCTTACGGAACCATTTTGTGGACGGTCTCAGTGCATCAAGTGAGGTGGGTTGGGACCACGTTCTAACAGGAAAAAAGAAGTTTAGAGTAGCTAATGTACATTCTCAAATAATAACAGTAATATAGGTACAATACATACCATATGCCACCTTACAGACATTAAATGCCTTTATCCCTCATAACAACACTTTATTCCTTTATTTTTTTCATATGTGGAACTGAGACACAAAACAACTAAGAAATGTGAGATCATAACACACATTGGCAAGGCTTAGTATTCAGACCCACAGTCTGAGTCCAGGATGTCTACTATATCTCAAAATAGTATGGCAGGTAATTGGAGGTAGCAAAGATAGGATTAGAAAGCAAGTGAAATTTAACATAAGGCAAAGGCAGACCTGCTCTGTACCCACAACTGCCTTCTCTCTCTCTCTCTCTCTCTCTCTCTCTCTCTTAAAGATTTTATTTATTTATTTGACGGACGGAGATCACAAGTAGGCAGAGAAGCAGGCAGAGAGAGAGGAGGAAGCAGGATCCCTGCTGAGCAGAGAGCCCGATGCGGGACTCAATCCCAGGACCCAGGAATCATGGCCTGAGCTGAAGGCAGAGGCTTTAACCCACTGAGCCACCCAGGCACCCCAACCTTTCTCTTTTTTGTTGAGGGAGGACAGGAGGAAAAAGAAGCAAACCTCATATTTATTAGATGAGCTGCATTTAATTTTCTCTGTCTCATAACCTTGGATTTGGGACCCATTCCATATTTCTGGGATGGGGCTGAACTCTGAATTATGACCTGAACAAAGCCCATCATTTCCCAGAGGAAACAGGGCATAGGCCATTGCCAAAACCAAGACGTGCCACATCTGCGTTAATAAGTCTTTATTAACAATTCCAATTCTAAATAGTAGAAAGCAACCACAAAAAAAGTTCTCAAAGGGATGTAAAGTTTATGTGCCTGGCCAGGCACATGTTTTGGCACAACTAGACGGGATCTGAAAGTAAACTGTTTGGGGTCTGGGAGTCAGTGGATAGCGTAGTGTACATAGGGAACCTCGACATCCTCGCCAGTATCATCGTTGCAGCACAGCTCAAGCACCAGTGCCTGCACATGGCGGCCCAGCTTTTGCTTCTACACATGGATAACAATTTCTGTCATCCTGGGAAGGGAGAGGTGAGGGTCAGGGACATATCAAGAGAGGAGAGACATATGGGGGTGAAGAAGGTAGGGAAAGCCATGAACATAAGTAGTAAGGTTTTCCACCCCACACAGGGCCTACCATAGCTTGCCCAGTGGCCAGCTCATGGCTGATCCAACCATTCCTTGAGTTCGGTAGCTGGCATGAGAAAGGAGTACAGCATGGATACACCTTGGGACAGCATGGTAATCTCTAATTTGTGTCCTGTCTGGAGAGAGTGGGAAGGAGGACAGACAACAGTGTCATAGAAAAGGAGAATACAATCACCACCCCTAGGGGAAGGCAGTGTAGAAAAGCCTTACCTTAAAGTAGTCAAGGAACTGTTTGAGAGTCATCTCTTCACCATTAGGCTGTAGCCCCTGTACCTCAACATGATCCCACAATGTCCACTCTTGGTTATAGTACCGTAGGACAAAACACAGGGGAGTGGAATATGGGCTAACCCAGATGATCCTAGCCTAACCACTCGACTTGACTTTTTAAGACAGATCAATCACAACCTTCTTTTGTCTCAACCCTCCTGGGGCCCCATATCACTGTGTGCAAGCTATATTATTATATTGACCAATGTGTCTACACAATAAAGCGATCCTGGTATCTTCTTCACACCTTCCACTTCCTTTACCTTCCCATTTAATATCGTCTAACTATCCTGACCTTCTCATTACTTCTCAAAGATGCCAGTCACATTTATACTTGGCACAATGCAAAAACTGTATAATGAATGGACAAATGGTACACAAAGAGCATGGTACCCAAACATACAAAGAGCATCACCTGCTATGAGGCAGCTCTCCATAAATACAGATGCACACACATCCTACCCACCACATACATGCAGTCTCACTCACTGATGGGCAAAACCAAAGGTTTCCATATAAGCAGGCCCCTACCTGGTGTGGGGGTGGGCCAAGGGGTTCAGAGAAGCTGAAGAAGGGCAGGGCCTACATGAAGCTATTCTTTTAAGAGTCAAACTGCCAGTGTCTCTGCACCACTTTATATAACTCCAGACACACAAGGCCAACTATAGCTGCTGTGGTTGTGGCAATTGCTGGGATGATCTTCCCTGCAATCAGCTTGCTCTGCCAGAGAGAAGATGACCAGCAGAGGACATCATTAGAGAGGTTCAGGGTCTACAGAGGAGGACAAATGTGGAGACTCACCCTTGTGAAAGGGTGAAAGCTTAAGCTCTATACTATCATTACCTTATGCCGATCTGCTGGGTGAATATTATAGTTTTCTGCTCGGAGGTTGGATGCAGCCACAATGAAATCCATATGAAAGTTGGTATTATCATCCTGTTGTGAATGGGAAGAGAGGACAGATACGGAAGAGGGAGTTAGAGGAAAACAAGTTTTCTTGGCTACTAAGGATTCAACTATATTTGCACCTTGATTACTTTTCAGACCAGCCACAGAATCTGGCAATCCTAGTCCCAAAGAAGCCTATGATGTCTCAGCCCATACCCTCCCCAGCACCTTCTCAAAGTCAATAGGGTACAACTTGAACCCAGGGAGCTTCTCTGGGCTGGGAATCATGGCTCTGAGCTCCTGTAGGCTCCTGTATCATCTGTAGGAAGAGAGGGACATGTTAGCCCTTTAAATTCCAGGCCAGGGTATGAGAAGAAAGGAGAGTAGAATGGGGCAGAGATTTCAGACAGATCAAGGATCTGAATAGGAGAGGCACTGTGGGAAAGAGCTGGGGGAGCAGGGAATTGTGGAGCAGGGAAATGTGTCCCCACAGAAGAAAGAAAGATGTAGACAGGAGTAGGACCATAAAGATATAAATGGAGATGTTGAACAAATAATAGCAATAAGAACGGATGTAGACCGTAACACTATTCAGAACAGGTAAGGGCAGAAGAAGTCCAAGTGTCCATTTGTGAATGAATGGCTAAAGAAGTCATGTGTCCACACAATGGGATATTACTCAGCTATCAAAAAGAATGAAATCTTGCCATTTGCAAGGAAATGGATACAGCCAGACTGTTTTATGGTTAGAGACAGAAAGATGACTGCTTCAAGATGCCACTTACATGATATATGTATCTGTAAGAGACCCAAAGTCATAGATACTGAAGACAAAACAGTGGCTGGCCAGGAGACTGAAGAGTTATTTTAGTGTGGACAAGATTTCATATTTGGAAGGTGGGAAAGTCATGGAGACATTTCATAACAGCATTGATATATTGAATGCTGCTAAACAGAACACTTAAAAATGGTTAACACTTGGGACTCTAGGGTGGCTTCATTGATTAAGTGTCTGCTTTTGGCTCAGGGTCCTGGGATCAAGCCCCACAGGGAGTCTCCTTCTCCCTCCCCCTTGTCTGCTACTCCCCCTGCTTGTGCATGTGCACGCTCTCTCTCTGTTGAATAAATAAATTAAATCTTTTTTTAAAGTGCTTAACACTGTAAATCTTAGGTGTTTCTACTGTAATTAAAAAAAGTAGATTACAATACAGAGATAGGAGATTTTAAAAAGTGCCACAGACAGAAAAGGAGAGATATGGAGGAGACAGAGAGGGAAACAACAGAAATGCAGGGGAACAAAATACAAGAAGTAGCAATAGGGAAAAACAGGAAGAGAAGAGAAATGTGAACAGGATAAAATCAAAATTTGAAGATGAAGAAGAATGGCAGAGATTAAAATTACATATGGATGATGAGCTAGGAGGAAATACACGCAATGCTGACAACTCTAGAGATACACACAAAGACATATACAGAGAGGAACAAGAGAGATGAGGTATTTAGAAAAGAGAAGGATGGGGACAGATATACAGAGAAAAAATGGAAATATATATATAGAAAATATACAAAATAGAGAGGGACTTAGAGAGCATCAGACAGATATGGGACAGATAGAGGAAGACGGAAGCTGGGAGCTGGAAGATAGTTAAAAAGGTTAGATGAGGAGGAAGACCTTGAGAGGAGATGAAGAAAGACAGGGAGGTCAATACTAGGATGAAAATACATACAGGTGAAAGCTGGAGATATGGATGGGGATTTCAGGAAGGAGATGACCCAGGGAAGACATCAAGGCAAACTATTTGCCAAGAGTCTGAAAAACAGAGGAAAAAGAAAATGGAGTAAAGGAGAACAAAAAAGGCAAATACACATGCAGAAAGAAAATGTACAATTAATCCTCCCGGGAGCCAGAATGGGAAGAAAAATGGGAAGAAAAAGGAGGAATATATGAAAGAATTTACCTCAACCACCCATCTTAACACTGACTGAAACAAAGACCACAGGGAAGCATGGGTAAAACTCAGGCTTGGGAACTCATCACAGAGAAACTAGGACAACTAGTGTAGAAATTTGGACATAAGATAAATGGAACAGTGCTCTGAGCCAATTGGATTAAGCACCCTCACCAACAAGGCACTGGCTTTTTGAAGCTCCTCGTCAGAGACATGGGTCTTGACTCCAGACTTGGGGGTGAATTCAGGGATGTCCACAGACTGTAGAAGTATGGCCACAGCAGCTCAGTCCTGAGACCCCATCAGCCCATAGGTCTGGGCAAAGAGATTGTTAGCAGCCACCACATAATCCAGATTCAGGGGCTAGAAGGCAAGATATGGACTAGTGAGCAGATCCAGACCTCACCCTGGAACCTCAGGCCTTCTTCTCAGCCACCACTTTCCACCTGATCCCAGGATACCCTAAGGGGAGACTTACATTGTTGACATCAAAGATAAGTCAACGTTTGGGCCCAGACCAGAATAGGGCTCCAGAGCTTGTAAGCTAAGAGGATAGAAAGGGTTTGAGGGAGCAGGGCCTGAGAGGAGACAATCCTGACTCCTCATCTCAGACCTAGACGTCCCAACTCACTATCCCTGGGCATTCACTTTTTGATACATATATAGAACTATCAGTATCTTATGAATTTTCAGGCATTATACCAACTTAAATAGCTTAATAAATACTAATTAATCCTCAAAAGCTCTCAAGAACTAGGTCATAATTATTCACAGATGAGGATACTAAGATGCAGAGAGAAAATTCATGACTGGCTCTCTCTAAAGTCAAATGAAGCTGGAATGTGAACCAGTTGTACTCTTTTTTTTTCTTTTTTTAAGATTTATTTATTTATTTTTTGGGGGGGTAGGGGGCAGAGGAGAGGGAGAAACAGTCTTAGGCTAAGTGAAATAAGTCAAGCAGAGAAAGACAATTATCACATGGCTTCACTTATATGTGGAACACAAGGAATAGCATGGATGACATTAGGAGGAGAAGGAAAGGAAAAATGAAAGGGGGAAATCAGAGGATGAGACCAACCATGAGAGACTATGGACTCTGGGAAACAAACTGAGGGTTTCTGGGGGTGGGGGTGGGCTAGCCCAGTGATGGGTATTACAGAGAGAAAGCACTGCACGGAGCACTGGGTGTTATATGCAAAAAATGAATTGTTAGGACTGATTTAATGTTAAAACCTGTTTAACAATTAACAAATAGCTAGAGCAATTCTATATTTCCTAGGTAGCCATATTGTTGTTTACATCCATGGACTTCATTCCAGGAATAAACGCCCCAGTAGTTCCTGGTATTGGTTCCAGGTATCGATTCGGGGAGTAAACACCCTAACAATAGAAGCCACATACCTTGAGGTCTGAGGTTATGCTCTATAAAACCAGCCTGTGACATTGGGACAGGGTCACTCTCTTCGGAGGCTTTGCATAACTTTCACTTTTTCTCAGTCTCATTCCTTTAACCACGGACCGCATCATGAATCATGAAACACTGCATCAAAAACTAACGACGTACTGCATAGTGACTAACATAACATAATAAAAAAAGTTAAAAATAAATAAATAAAAATCTTAAAAAGATTGTAAAACTCAACACCCCAAAAATAAATAATTCAATTAAAAAATGGGCAGAACACACGAATAGATACTTTTCCAAAGAAAACTTACAGTTGGCCAACAGACACATGAAAAGATGTTCAACATCACTCATCATCAGGGAAATGCAAATCAAAACTACAATGAGATATCATCTCACACCCATCAGAATGGCTAAAATCAACAACATAAGAAACAACTGTTGGTAAGGATGTGGAGAAAAAGGAAAGGTCATACACTGTTAGTGGAAATGAAAACTGGTGCAGCCACTGTGGAAAACAGTATGGAGTTTCCTCAGAAAGTTAAAAAGGGAACTACCCTATAATCTACCAATTGTATTACTAGGTATTTACCTAAAGAATACAAAAATACTAATTCACAGAGATACTTGCACCCCGATGTTTATCACAACATACAATAGCCAAATTAAGGAAACAGCCCAAAAGTCATCGAACAATAAATGCATAGATAGAAGATATGGTATATGTATACAATGGAATATTACTCAAAGCCATAAAAAGGAATGAAATCTTGCCATTTGCAATGGCATGCATAGAGGTAGAGACTGTTAGGCTAATTGAATAAGTCAGAGAAAGACAAATACCATATGATTTCACGCATATGTGGAATTTAGCAGATGAGCAAAGGGGGTAAAAAGAGAGAGAGAGACAACAAAAAAAAAGACTCTCAACTATAGAGCACAAACTAATGGTTACCACTGGCAATGGGGGGGGTGGGTAAAACAGGTGATGGGGATATAGGAATGCACTTGTGATGAGTAGTGGGTATCATGTGGAAGTGCTGAATTACTCACTATATTTTGCTCTTGAAACTAATACCACACTGTATGGTATAACTAACTGGAATTAAAAAAAAAACTTAAAGATTTATTCATTTTAGAGGGGGGGGGGCAGTGTGGGTGTAGGTTGAGAAGGACTCCCCTGGAGCAGGGAGCCTCATGCAGAACTCCATCCCAGGACCCTGAGATCATGACCTGAGCTGCAGGCAAACACTTAACCAACTGAGCCACCCAAAAGCACTGGCTCATTTTTTCTTGAGGTCTTATAAAATGGTCTTGGTGTGCCTCCCATAGCTGAATTAGCTACGACAAGAGCTCTCAGAACACTACCTGCTTCTAGAAAATGCATTCTGCCAAATGAACTCAGCAAGTATGTAATACCTGGTCAGGTGGAAAGTTGTCAAAAGCTGGCAAATGTTGTTGGAGTACTGAGTGTGCCAGTGGTGGTAAGCCCAGGTCACACAGTCAGCCCAGGTCTGTGGCTGCTGTAGCACCAAGCTACGCTGCATGGCTTCCAGCATTTCCAGGGGTTGGGTGCCTGCCAGGCGCAGTGTCCGTTCCACAAACTTGGAGTCTCTGACAGGAATCACAGCAAAAATGGGCAAGATTACACAGAGGCCCCAGGAGTGGGCTTAACTACATGGAGAGCTGGTCCCGACTCTCCAGTGGCAGGAGGCCCATGCATTCATTAATTGATTCAGAACATGTGGCTGGTGCTGAGCCATACAGTGGTTACAGTATGCTTGACTAGGCAGAGAAGTGAGAGAACATTCGGACAGGATTACTCACGTGAGATACTGGTTGACATTTTCTGCCGGGTGCTTAAAGAGACCTTCAAACTCATCCCGAGCCCACTGCAGACAAAGCAAAGAGATTACATTGGCCTGAAACACAAAGTGGGCTTTCGTAGGCACAAGATGGGATGCCTGGGTAGCTCAGTCGGTTGAGCATCTGCCTTCAGTTCAGTTCATGATACCAGAGTTCTGGGATCAACTCCCATACCAGGTTCTCTGCTCAGTGGGGAGGTTGTTTCTCCCTCTGCCTGCTTTCCCTCCCTCTGCCTGCTTTTTCTCTGACAAATAAATAAGTAAAATATATATAAAATATATATATATATATAAATATAATATTTATTTAAATATTTAAAATAAATATAAATATATATAAAACAGACCATCAGTGAATGAAGCAATTAGGAACAATATGGTGACCACAGAGAACAAAGGAAGAAGGCCCCTTATAAGGGGCTCCTCAAACTTCCAACACCTACCATCCCAATGTGAAAACCAATGACCTTGATCTGAGCAGTGGTTATACAAATTAAAGACTTTGGTTTTCAAAGTTTTCTATATATATATATATAGAAAACTTATTCTTAAGATAGGTACACCCTAATCTAGATGTGGTATGTTTCAAGAAGAAAGAACAAAGCTCACACCAAAAATAAAACATGAATGATCCATACAGATCATGGGGACTAGACAGAGAATGAGATACAAGTTTTGCTCTCTGCAAATTACAAGGTCAGTAAATACAGCCACTGGTGAAGTGATCTGGAACCTAGAGATCCAGGTTCAAAGGACAGCTCAGCCACAGTGCTGTGGCTAAAAAGGTAATGCCTTTATCTATGTATCCTTATTCTGAAAATGTATTCTGTAAATGAAATATCTGTAACTCATGGGTTGATATGTTGAAATGACCATAGACATACATATGTAAAGCTCACTTAAATAGTGTCAAGGACTCATTAAATGATAAATACTTTACAAAGCCTTGAGAGAAGTACTTCTCTCCTCTTATTTTACACATAAGGAATCTGAGATGTGAGGAGGTTAAGTTCAAGAGTCACATACTGAATTTATTTTAAGAGCAGTTTTATAGTCCTTCTGCATATGTGGCATGGCAATAGAGTAATTATCTAATAAAGGTTACAAGTATGGACACACACACACACGTATATGTCTGTAAACATACACATGTGTGTACATGTACTTATGCATATACACATGGTGAGATGGAGACACATTTACACATGGTTTATCTATCAGTTTAAATACATCCATTTGGTAACTGCTGGGATGGAAGCAAGTAGTGCAAACTGTGTTCTGTTTCTCCTTATCTTCCTCCTACTCCCATACTCTAAAATATGGTCTTTAAGGACTGCATTAAGAAGAATACTACCTAATAAATACATAATACAGTGGTCATCCTTGGGTTCAAAGAACACTGGAATTTGAGTTAGGTTCTGTGTATTGGTTAAGTATATTGTCCATTTAGACGATACGTACACCATTGTGTATGTACGTTATACGCAGAGAATTATCCTGACATGCCAATTCTTAAACAATTGAATTACACAATTCTTAACAAATTCCTTGGTGCAACAGTTAGGTAAATCCAAATATGGGCTAAATATTACAAGTAATTAAATAACTAGCAGAAATAATTGCTAAAAAATTAATTTTTTAGCAGGAATATAATCTTCTGTTTATATGAGCTCACACCTTCATTACTCATATGTAAGTTAAATAAAATACATTACATATTATATGAATATCCATCTCTGTGTTTACAAACTAAACATTTTTAAGTTAAAAGAAATGAATCATTTAGTAAAGCTTAGACTGCAGGGTGTAAAATGAGAGAAAGAGACTTGAAGAAAAGGTACATGTTAACTGGCACTTATATCACCTGAATGACAAGTTGGTGGCTGAGAGGCTGCTTAGGTGCCTGTCTCTTCTACCTCTCCCTCCCTCCAAAAGTGATCACCTGCAGTGTGTGTTCGATGGCATTGGGGAAGTTCTTCAGTGTGCAGATAGGGATGGACTTCTCAGGAGGGTCCTGGCTGGAGCTGTAGGACTCTGTCAGGAAGGGGATAACCTCCTGCACGTTGCCCTTGGTGCCCAGTGTGCCTGACTCCAGCAGTGGTTTACGGTAGTACACACAGCGGCGGTCCACGTACATGCCTGTGAGAAGACGACAGGGGGTGATAACATTAGGATACAACAAGAGAACAGATACACCCCCAAACAGACACATATTAACTCTGCCCTTGTCCTCACCCCCACCCCCAAACTCACGAGCATCCATATTGTCCACGGCATTGGCAATACCATCAAGGTTCTGGAAGAAGCTGTCATCATAGATATGCTCTGTGTCAGGGCCAACACAATTCTGATGGCTCATTACCCGGATGTAAGGATTTATCTGGTGCACAGCTGCAGCAGCTGTGTCAGATTTCAATTTCTGGGTAGGGATGGAGATGCAGCAGTCACTCATACATTCACCCAATAAACTGTTACAGAGTTGTTCTGACAACTGCTTTCTCTAATGGTGGGCAAGATCTACACTGTGAGTTCAGTAGGCTCCCTGGTTTAGCAGTAGTCTATGACAAATGTCACACGACTGAGGCTGTGGCAAACGGGCCTGAGGCCTAGCAGAAAAGGAACCTTAGGAATTCCTAGGAAAACCCTAGGAATTTAAACTACATAAACCAGGTAGGAGACAACACATCAGGTATCTGCAACATTTATTGCTTTTTGACTTAACAGCATCCAGAGTCGGGATGCCATTACCCAAATAAAGCCAAGGTCCTTGTACAAATATAAACAATATCCTGTGAAAGCCAAGTCAGGTCACATTCTTCTTTTGCTCAAAACCCCCCACTAGCTCTCACTTTCACTTAGGGTATGAGTTGGCTCATGTTACTTCTAGAACCTCATCTCTTACCATGGTCCCTTCTGAATGACCACTCCGTTCCTTACACAGTGAGTGATATTCCAACATCAGAATTTTGCTCAGGCTGTTACCTTTACCCGATACACTCCTTCCTGAATTACCTTCTCATTCTCCTCTATCATCCAAGGAAGGAAATGCCACCCTCCTGCTGAGGACTTCCTTTACCATAGTGCAAACCACTCTCTATGGCACTTCCCTCTCATCCTGGTTTTTCATGTTTCATTGTACCTTCTTAACATCAGCCGTGTACTTGCCTATTGTAAATTACTGTTTATTGCAACCATCCTCAAATATAAGGATCTTAAGAAGAACAGCTGCTATGTGGGGTTACAGCGACCAGTTTGTCCTGTATTAGGAATTTAAACTACCTCAAAAACTAGTGACGTACTGTATGGTGACTAACATAATTAAAAAAAATTAAACTGATAAGATTTTATTATTAGTTGATTTGAAAATGAAATGATTCCATTACATAGTAGAAATATAAATATGAAAAATGTTTTCCAGTACAAAAATGTCAGTCACAAAACCCAAATAATATGTACATTTTTGCAAATGTTTTAAGTTATGTAATCTCTTAGGAGGCAGATGGATTCTCTTCTCTACCACATTTTCAATCTGCTAAATGTACACAGAAGAAATACTCAGTTTCACACAATATTTTAATAGCATTTTCAGATAATTGTGGATATTTAAAAAAATCAAAACCTGAGAAATAACGGTGTTTTAAAGTGTAGTTGCAAGGTAAGATCCTCAACCTATGCCAGTATCTACTGGCTTGTTTTGCATTTTGAATAGATCCTTAGGTATTTCTCGCTTTTGTACCATTATGTATTTGGTCATTTAAAAAAAAAAGAAGAAGAAGAAGTGTTACTGAGTTAATAGAAGCCTTCCTAAAGTAGAATGGAAATTTTTACTGACAAAGTAAGAATAAAAAGGCAAATGATGTCTTGGTAGTCTTAAAACAATAATGACCTTGGGGACTTGATGAAAAGTGTTGTGGACCTCCAGACTTTTCTCACTAGACAAGGGCAGAAAGCTCTCCTATGCTATGTAATGTATCCCAAATATCTAGGGCAGTGCAGAGTAGCAGGATGAGAAAATGAAATAAAATCCTGAGTAGGCAAAAATAACACATAAGACTTCTCATATTGATCCTTCCACATACCTAGATTCCCGAGTCCTACATTAGCAGCTACCAAAGGTAGAGAGAGAAAAAAAAAAGTGGGGGTAGGTATAAAATGATAAATGAAATAAAAAGACATGGTAAGTATTCAAATATCTGTGGAAAGAATGAGTGGTAGAAAAAGAGAGAGAAGGGAAAAGCAGAAAGATAGATAGAGGTAAAAAGACCTAAGCTATTAGATTAAGGACAAGAAAGGAGAAAAGAGAGAGAAGAAAGGAGAAAAGAGAGAGAAGCAACTCATCCAGTTACCAGGTATACCTACTCACCTTGACATCCCAGGGCCGGAACAAAAACTGTCGATTGAGATTGGACTTCTCAATGGTGTCCATGTCTGTAACAGTGATTGCCCCATTCTCCCCACAGCCTAGACCAATCATGGCAAAGTTCTTGAGGAGTTCACAGCCAATGGCCCCTGCACCCACCTGAGAGGTTACCAAGAAGAGAGACACAAAGTGTGAAAGCGAAGAAAAGAAACCTGTTAGTCCTCACTTCCCCTGAAGATACAGAGAGGGTAAGAGGGTCCTGTATTACATATTCAAATCCTAGAGCCATAAACAACTACTGTCATCTGAGAAAGGAGGCCCCAGATGGGGGAATAAAGGCCCATTATCAGGCTTTTCTGAGTATGAAGAAAATGCAGAAAGGGAGGAGATGAGGGGAAAAAAACAAAACAAAACAAAACAATTAACTGCCTTAGTGAGGCAGGAGACTCTAGAAAAGATTGGCCAGAGGCAAGTAAAGATGATGTAGCTGGTGCCCCATGGCATCACTCACCAAAAAGTAATTTTGCTTGCCCAGCTTCTCTTGCAGGTCTGAGCCAAATACAGCCACCTGCCCATCATAACGGCTCTGGCACTGTGTCATGTGAAGGGAGGAGGATCAGAGATGAGCTGCCATGCAGAGACCCAAAATAATACCTTCCCCATGGGGCCCCTTCACATACCGGGTGACATCTGTCCTCTGTGAGGGCCTGTCTGTCCTCAGGGAGACACTCAAGTGCATCAAAGTACAGCCACTGCATAATAGGCGTAAACTTCCCAGAGCAAGCCTGGGAAGGATGGTAAGAAATGGGAGGTCATCAGTGCTTAATAGGAATCGGACCCAGATGGACAGCCAGTGATGGAATCGGGAGGGCACCTGGCCTGTCCTCAGCTCTGCCCTTCTTTAACCATACTGACCTTCATAACTTCCTGGGCAGCCAAGCCCCCAATAAAGGCGTTTATGGGTGCCAGATCCCCAGCAGCCACATATGCGAGTTTTCTAATGAGGTCCTCATCCAGGGGGTCCTGCTGCACCACTGGCAGGGCTCGGGCATTCACAGCCTGGGCTAAGGCCACCAGTGCTATTGCATCCTCCTGGAAAGGCAAAGAGAACCAAGAGAGGACCAGTCAGACCAACAGTGGGAATGAGAGAGGGAGACAGTAGATGGGAGAGCAGGTGAGGCTTTGGGCCAAAGATGCCGGCTGGCTTGCCCACTCATCTACCTCATTGTAGGGCCGAGGAGACCGGCCATGCTGAGCACAGAAGCGGTGCAGGGCCTGGAAGCCAATGTGCAGCTGACCAGGGCGAGAAAACTTGGCAAAATCCGTTATCACAAAGTCTGGTTCTGCCAGTGACACTAGCAAGGATTTCTGTGGAGAGTGGGATATCAGCACCAGAGACGTGAAAATCCTAGAGCTGTAGGACCCTATAGCCCACCTCCACACATACTTACAAAGCTGATCTTCTTAGGTACTTTAACCTGACTGACAATGCCTCCCCGGGTGTACTCAGAGAAGCTAGAAGTGTCACAGATACTAAAGGTATAGGGACCTAAGGGAGGAAA